GAACTACGCGCTGCGTACGATGCTTGGAGGCAAGGTGACTACCTTTGCCGGAACTATGTCCTGAATGGACTTAGTAACGAGTTGTACAATGTGTACAGCTCAGTTGGTTCTGCCAAGGAACTTTGGGATGCCTTGGAGAAGAAGTACAAGACGGAGGATGCCGGGGCGAAGAAATTCGTCGTCGGAAAATTTCTTGACTTCAAGATGGTTGACACGAAGACTGTCGTGTCACAAGTGCAAGAGTTCCAGCTGATCTTGCACGATATCCATTCTGAAGGGATGACTTTGAGCGAGTCATTCCAAGTAGCGGCTGCGATCGAGAAGCTGCCGCCAGGATGGAAGGACTTCAAGAACTATCTCAAACACAAGAGAAAGGAGATGAGTCTTGAAGACCTGGTTGTTCGTCTTCGTATTGAGGAGGACAACCGTAATTCGTCGGGCAAAAGCCCAATAATGGAGGCTCGTGCGAACTTGCTGGAGTAAGAAAATTCGAGCAAAAGGAAGCCCTTTAACAAAGGGAAGCAGCCCGCCAAGGTTTGGAAATTCACTGGAACTTGTTACAACTGTGGAAAGCAAAACCATATGGCGAAAGACTGCAAGAGGCCAAAGAAAGATGGTCCAAATAAAGGGCAACCGAGTGCCCTTGTTGCTGAACATAGCCCTGTGCCGGGTGAACTGGCCGACTTTGATATGTCGGCTGTGGTGTTTGAAGCCAATTTGGTGGATAACCCAAGGGAGTGGTACATAGATACTGGTGCCACTCGTCATGTGTGTTCTGATAAGGAGGTGTTCTCTGAATACACTCCTGCTACGGGTCGAAAACTTCACATGGGAAACTCCTCCACGTCTGATGTGGCTGGAGTGGGTACTGTGGTGCTTAAGCTCACTTCTGGAAAGGAGTTGAAGCTAAAGGATGTTCTGCATGTCCCAGACATCCGTAAGAATTTAGTCTCCGGATCACTTCTTGTTGAGCATGGATTTAAGCTAGTGTTTGAAGCTAAGAAGTTTATTCTTAGCAAATATGGAATATTCCTTGTTCGTGGTTATCTGGACAAGGGTTGTTCAAAATGAATGTAATGGCCGTGAGCCGTGTAACCGTTAATAATAAAAAGCCTATTTCTGTTTATACCGTTGAGTGTTCTGATATGTGGCATATTAGATTGGGACATGTAAATCTAAATGCAATTAAACGTTTAATGAAATTAGAATTAATTCCTAATTCTAAAGTTGAAACAAATACAAAATGTGAAATTTGTATTGAAGCAAAAATGGCTAAGTTGCCTTTTTATTCGGTGGAAATGAGTACTGAACCATTGGGCTTAATCCATACTGATGTATGTGATATGAAAAGTGTGCAAACAAGAACCGGTAAAAATTATTTTGTAACTTTTATCGATGATTGCACAAGGTTTTGCTTCTTATATTTGTTAAGAAGCAAAGATGAGGCTGTGGAAGCGTTTAAGATATATAAGACCGAAGTTGAAAATCAACTCGGCAAAAGGATAAAAATAATCCGAAGTGATAGGGGTGGGGAGTATGTAGCTCCTTTTGAACAAATATGTTCTGAATATGGCATAATTCATCAAACGACAAGCCCTTATTCTCCACAATCAAACGGTGTTGCTGAACGCAAAAACCGAATTTTAAAAGAAATGATGAATGCCATGTTGATTAACTCGGGATTACCACGGAACATGTGGGGGGAAGCTGTTTTGACAGCAAATCATATCCTGAATAAAATACCACCTAAAGGGAAAGATGAGACTCCTTACGGAATGTGGAAAAATCGTAAGCCGTCTTATAAATACCTGAAAGTGTGGGGGTGTTTGGCTAAGGTTTCAGTACCTGAACCAAAACAAATGAGAATCGGGCCAAAGACGGTCGATTGTATATTTATTGGATATGCGTACAATAGTACAGCATATAGATTTCTGGTTCATAAATCAGAAAATCCAGAGGTATCTGTTGGTATCACGATTAAGTCAAGGAATGCAATATTCTGTGAGAATGTTTTTCCTATGAAGGAAAGGGCAGAATCTAGTTCTAATAAAAGAACGTATGAAATTGCTAGTGGTTCTGTACCAGAGGGTACTAATGAAGAACCGAGACGTAGTAAAAGGGTAAAAACGGCTAAAACGTTTGGACCTGATTTTATTACGTACATATTGGACGATGAACCAAGTTCCCTTAAGGAAGCTCTGTCCAGCCCAGATGGACCACTCTGGGAAGAAGCTGTAATTAGTGAAATTGAGTCCATTATGCAAAATCATACTTGGGAGTTGGTTGATCTCCCTGATGGTTGTAAGCATTTAGGATGCAAGTGGATCCTAAAGAAGAAATATAAAGTTGATGGATCGATTGACAAGTTTAAAGCACGTTTGGTGGTCAAAGGCTTTAAACAAAAGAAAGGGTATGATTTCTTTGATACCTATTCACCTGTTACGCGTTTAGCGTCGATAAGAGTGCTTCTCTCGATTGTTGCTTTGCACAATCTTGAGATTCGCCAAATGGATGTCAAGACGACATTTTTGAATGGTGAATTGGAGGAAGAAATATACATGGAACAACCTGAAGGGTTTGTTGCACCTGGACAAGAGAGAAAGGTGTGTAGATTAATCAAATCCTTGTACGGACTGAAACAAGCTCCGAAACAATGGCATTTGAAATTTGATGATGTGATATTGTCAAATGAGTTCAAAATCAACGAGTGTGACAAATTTGTTTATGTCAAGAGTACATCAAATACATTTGTGATTGTTTGTCTATATGTAGACAATATGTTGATCATGGAGAGTAGCCATGAAGTGATCATGGACACGAAAAGAATGTTGAAGAGAAATTTTGACATGAAAGATATGGGTTTGGCTGATGTTATTCTTGGAATAGGATTATCAGAACCCAAGATGGAATTGTCTTGTCACAATCTCATTATGTAGAGAAAGTGCTCAAGAAATTTGATGTCTATGACGGTGCACAGTCTAGGCATATGTGTAAGACACCCCTTGATCTCAGTATAAATCTGGTAGTCAATAAAGGTCAACAAGTGGCTCAGTTGGAATATTCACGGATAATAGGGAGTCTGATGTACTTGACGAATTGTACACAACCAGACTTGGCCTATCCGGTGAATAAGTTGAGAAGATTTACGAGCAATCCCAGTCATGAACACTGGAATGCTTTGAGAAGGGTACTTAAGTACTTGAGGTACACCCTTGAACACGGGCTAAAATACTCGAGATATCCAGCCGTACTTGAAGGGTACTGTGATGCAAGCTGGATATCAGATTCGAGAGATTCTCGCTCCACTAGCGGATATGTTTTCTGTATTGGAGGAGGTGCAGTTTCGTGGAAATCCACAAAACAAACGTGTATAGCTCGATCAACGATGGAATCGGAGTTCATCGCTTTAGATAAAGCTGGTGAAGAAGCCGAGTGGCTTAGAAATTTTTTATCTGATATTCCATGTTGGGATAAGACTTTGCCGCCTGTGATGATTCACTGTGATAGCCAAGTTGCTATATGTAGGACAGAAAGCAACTTGTATAACGATAAGCTAGACATATTCGTCGTAGACATAATACCGTACGTCAATTGATCACAAATGGTATTATTTCCATTGACTATGTGAAGTTTAAGGAAAATTGGGCTGATCCTTTGACGAAAGGACTCAATAGAGATCAATTGGCAGTTTTGCTAGAGGGAATGGGCTTAAAAATCCACAATGTAAAGAATGATTATAGTGGTAACCCTACCATACTGAGTGGAGATCCCACAAACTTGGTTCAAAAGGAAAACTAAGCCATGAAAATTCAGTCGAGCACTTGGAACATATGAATGTCCAAAGCTATTCCCTAGAGCACACCAAGTGCAAGATTACCTGTTGATTTTGGTAAGGGTAAGTCATTTGGATTTTTAATGAATCCCTAACCTTGTAAAGGTGAAGTATTACAGGATACTCTTGATAGGGAGGTCACCTATATAAGTGTGAAGTGTGGGCCACTTCAAATGTAAACACTTATGAATTCATTGTGTTGTCCATGGCCAAAACGGACACAACGATAGAACGGAATGGAGTTAAGACTCTATTGTGTGAATGTTATTGTCTTGGTGTACACTATGGAGGAATAGTTCAAGGCATTATGTCCACTAGGCCGCCAGTACATCCGATGATGTTTACTAAGAAATGTTCAAAGCCAAAAGCTACCTTCTCTGATGCGATAGAATTTTGTGAGGATTGAGCACAAGAATCTGCATACGTGCATATATATTTCCACTCATGTGGGGGATTGTGAAAATTGTGAGTGGAAATAATTGAGTGTGGGTCCTCTCTCTTTTTGCTCTTCTGTCAATCAAGTTGTTCATCTGATTTCAATTGAAAATTGTGAGATTTGTCAGCAAATAATTGAGAGTGGGTCCTCTTGAACATGTCTTACATGTGCTTTCAATTGCTGGCCACGCCTTCCCATATTAAGTTGACCTTATTTTGTTCCCTCATCTTCCCTATAAATAGCTGTTCGAGAAAGAAAGAAAATGCACCAAAGATCTGAAAGAAAGAGAGAAGAAAGAAAGAGAAAGGAAAGAAAAAAAAAATATATATCCAAATATCGAATATAAAAATATTAAAAGAGAAGAAACAAGTGATATTTTTATTTGTTTCAGAATATTCTTTTTTATTTCTAAGTGCTCAATTCTCGATTTCGTTCCTGTTCGTCGGAGCTCGTAAATGGGGTGTGCTACAGATTTAGAGACGTTTGCCGTTATATCAAGTTACGCCTGAACCGTTAACTGCCACACGGGGCGTATTCTTCTTGCGAAAAGAATTTTACTCGCCTCGGCTAAAATTTATACCAAATATCCAACAAAATATTACTATATAAAACTACAGTACATTGAATAAAAGCTTCAAAATAAATTCAATCTTTCTGTTGACCCATTTACATGCCCACTTCACATGAGGCCAGAAGGTCTATACATTGAAAACTGTATGGGATGAAAATAGATCAACAAAACCTCAATGCATCTTCCAGCTCCTTTTCGTCTTCACAATTATATCCGAGTAGATATGCCCGAGCTGATGCATAATAAAAACATCCAATATCAACCAAAAGATGAAAAAAGACTCAGAAAAACACTTCACAATAAATGAGAGACATATTGTTTGTACCAAAGCGCCCAGATCCCATGAAAGGCTCTGCTTCATCAGTTACACCAACTTGCTGTTGTTCCTGAAATTTCAATTCAAATGGAAAAGTTTAGCCTTCTTAAAGTTATTTTGGGGCCATAATGATTTGTGAGAGAGAAGAATGTGGATGACAACAAAAAGCTTTTGATTTGACCTCATGAAATTATCATTAATATTTTGTGAAATTGAAAGAACTGTAGAACATTACAAGCTGAAGTTCAAATTGAAGTTTTCTTTACAGATCTTCACTGCCTGTTTGTATTAGGTAAGTACACCCAGCAAGAACCATAAAAACTCTTCCCGAGAATGGAAATGATAACAAGATAGGATGCAACTTCCAGAATCGACACATCAGACGTGCTAACAGACATCAAACAAGTGCATTTCAAATAGCAAATGTAAATATTAACGTTACGTGAGAAATGCCTTACAGCATCAGGTTCCATTTCATCTGCACAGAGTAATCTTTCGAAACAGCGGCCTGAGATGGTGCAGACCAAGAGCTCATTCGCGGGGTCCATACTAACTTCTTTGCATGTATCATCACAAACTGCAGAAGGCAAGAAAAAAGCAAATAATCTTAAGTGTCTTGGTCAATCATCAGGTGTCATTTCATAGAACAATCCTATGCACCAGTATGTATCATCTCACCATGAACATTGCCAGTTTTCTCACAAACAAACACATCTCCGATTCGATAGTAAGTGCAGCTTTCCCCAGTGCATGCATGATTGACTACCACTGTATCAGCCAGACCTCTGCTGCTCTTCCACATAGAGACTTGATCCGCAAGTGTCTTGTCAAGGATTATACGGTCATCATTCACCTTAACATCAAATAGAACATTACCAGTTAAGGCCTTTAAGTACACACAACAGCTCATATAATCAATAAACATAAAACCAAAAGTGTGCTCAGGTTGCCATATCAGGTCATAAAACTATGCTGCAGCTTCATGAGAAAGCTCGGGTCGGTTCCAATTCATCAATATTAACTTACAAAAGAACATGCAAGCAGAGAAAACTGAAAAATGTGTAATAAATATTAGTTATTAAAATAACATTGAAGTAGAGAACTTTTTTAAAATGATTTATAATATTAATTATTAAAGCAGGAAAATCAGGAATCTGACAAAAAATGTAGAGTTCTGATAAGGTTCCACCTTGTTCAACACTGAAAGATTGACAGTTTGGTATTGAACATCCACACCAAAAACAGCCAGGTACGAAGAAGTCGGTCTTTCTAGGACAGGTGGACTAAACTTAGATGCCAATACGCAAAACTACCATGGAGATGTTGGGAACCCATTCTTAAAAATCACATATAACATTTATCACCACAAAGCACTCCATTAAGCACTTATCATGTTTACCTGAGAAGGATGAGGTGCTTGACTTCTCTTCGCCACCTGCATCTGGATGTAATATTCTTTGAATTCAGATGGGCAATTCTTCACGAAGGCTGTCATATCATCTTCATCACGCTGTGTAGGTAATATGAAAGAGCTAGATTATGATCTTTGAAATCTAAAGGAAAGATATGATTGGAATGACAGACTCAAAATGAAGCTATGTATTTATTTATTTATTTATTATTTATTTTGTCTCAACTACAAAGGACAAAATAAAAAAACCAAACCTATCCCACTATATATTAATTCAAAACGTGCTGAGCCTAAATGGTAGGCTCACATGCTTTGGAATCCTACATGTCACAATATTATGCTTTGCGGTTAGTTCGGATAAAAAATTTGGAAACAAAATTGGTTTGGAAAGTGTCATAAACAATTTTCCATCATTGTCTCCGATCAATCTCTTTCATTACCAAATTTGTCTTGAATTTAAAGATCAAACAAATCTTTCTTTTACTAAGGATTTATATTCCTTCATCATATCTTTTCATTTTTGGTACAATTGTATTTACTTTTGTAGAAGATTTATTTATTAATTTCTTCTCATACATTGGAATAAAAAAAATAATATAAAATATCTTCAAGAAGGAAAATTGACGTAGGTAGTATAGAAGTAATTATTGAATTTAAACCTAAAGTTTGGACACATATAAATGTAGCAAACATAGATAACTAAAATAAAAAATAACTTACTTATTTGCACAAATCACTGTTAAGATAATATAGCAATTATGTTATGGTATTGGTTACAAACAATTAGCATTATCTACTCTTACGATAGTTGGTTTATTATAAACATTAAAATTTATTAAAAAGTAAAAATAATTTAAACATGCTAAAACTAAGTGTAAAATTTTGTAAATAAATTGATAAAGATATATATACAATAAAAAAAAAATCGGTATATCATATATTTTGGCCAATATTTTTTGGTATGAAATCAGTATAAAACGGTATTTTTGTCAAAATGGCATTTAGAGGGTTATTGTCGGCCGATCAATCGTAATCGATATTACCGTCAATATCGGTCGGTATAGTACGATATTTAAAACATTGTGTTTGCCTATAAACCAATGTTCTAAGAACTGAACCGGTCATCGAACCGGTCAAACTACTGGTTCAGTGGTTCACTAGTCTAACCAGTGGTTGAACCAGTATTTAATATTATACAGTATTTTAAGTAATAAATTTTGTATATAAAAATATTATTGATTAATATAAATATATAAACTAATTGATATAATAATTTATAAATATTTTAGAAATATAATTTGTTTATATTTTAAATACATTTAAATATATTAAAACTAAATGTCGTTTCACATAATTTATTAACTATTAATTATTCAATAATTTAACATCAACAATTCTATAAACCATCAAAAGAGGCCCGCGTATATAAAACATGCTTATGACACATTTTGTAATTGAGCGCTACGATATATAAGAGTTAAATCAACCACAAACGTAAGTTCAAAAAAGGCTCATATGTAATGTACAAAAAGGAAGCAATTAGGGCACAATTTTGTCATCCAATTCCGCCGTCGTCTCTTTCTTAAACCTTCTTTTTCTTTTATTTTGCTAACTACGTCAATCATGGCCGAGCTCTCTTATTTCTACACCACTAGTGTACACCCCGTGCGATGCACGGGAACAATATTAAATTAACAACTAGTCTTTTTGCCCGTGCAAATGCACGGGAAGTATAAAAATATATTATTTAAATAAGAATATCATAATTCGTATTCTATATTATTTGATAGTAATAAGATTATCATATTGATATGTAAATAATTATTGTGAGATGTAGTTATAAAAGTCCATGTAATTTATTATTTTTTTTTTATAACATGTACGTGTCCATGAAAGTTGGTTTTTTTGCTTTAAAACGGTTGAGTAATATCATCTGTTTGGTTCAACAATGAAGTTCGGCTCGAAACAAAAACAATGTCTTCCTTCAAATTCCATTTGCACTGCTTCATGTGAATCTTCTTGATTCAAATGTTAATTTTGTAGCTTTAAGAAAATAAAAATTAAAATATATTATTAACTATATTGGCCAATTTATATACAGCATAGACATATATCATACCAATAAGTAAAACAATATGTATTAAGGAAGGAAGATTTTTATATTGGTTTTGACTTGTTTTGAAAGTTAATCGTAAACATGATAACAAACCTGAATATGAAATATAAGGAATGCATTTATCTTATACGACAATTATTAAAAGTGAAACAACCGAAATTCGGTGTATTGAAAACTTCAGTGCTTTTTGTAAACAACCATACAGATAAATTGTTTTAATTTTATTTGGTCAGATATATGATTTTTGTTGTGGATAGAAAAATTAATTATATATAAACTACTTATATTACAAAACTAACATAATGAACAACATGTTAGACTATTATATTCAACTAACTACAAATTGAATGGAAGTATCTTGCATATTATTTATTTCAGTTTGAATTTCAAAATTCAATCTATTTTTATCTATATGCATGTGAAATATTTTTATGCTATATGAATGTGAAATATAATATTATGATGAATGTAATCATATTCAAAATAATATGTGAGAATCAATCATAAATTGATACCTGTGATATATAAAACTTTGTGATCAGTGACTTAATTCTATAGACCTTGTGTTGTGCCTAGAGATCTGTGTATGTGATTTTTTTTTTTTTTTTGTGATAAATGAAATGAAAAATCCACTTTATAATGAATAATATTTGAAGAAAAAAAAAATAAATATAAAAATTTGGGGTGTGTTGATTTCCACCCCATCACGAAAATGTCCATGTACAATAACTTAACCAAAACTATTGACGTGTGCTGACGGTTTTCAGACTTCCCTAAATTAGAAACTACATAGTGGGACCTTTAAAATGACCTTTCTAAAAAAGGAAGGTGAGTTCCCTAATTATATAGTAAATAGATATTATAAATAAATCTCGAGTTTGAGACACTCAATGGCGGAAGTGGAAATTACTATTGATCCTATTTAAAAAGAGGAAGAAAAAATAATAAATTCGAGGTCAAACAATGTAAAATTATTTTGTATAATAGAATATAAAATTTACATTATTTTGTATAAGAGAATATAAAATTTGTATGTTTAAAATTAAGAACTCCTAAAATATTATATTAGTATATGTAAATAGTATTCAAATTTTTCTATGTTATTTTTTAAAGATGTGAAATCACCTACAACTTTTCTAAATAATTTTAGAAGAAAAACATATCTAAAAACATTTGAATTTAACATTGTGTAAAAAAAAATTATAGACTATTTTATAAATAAAACATGTCTACCTATATTTAAATTTAACATCAATTATGTATATGTGTATATGTATATATATATATAGACGAATATGTAAAAAAATATCTAAACAATTTGTTTCAAGTATCTAAAATATTATAAGTCTAATTTAATAAAATCATACCGAATTTATGGTGTTCCATCTAAAAATATTTGATTACACACAATTTGAAAATTATTAGTTTTGATACCAAAAATAATTACAAATATTTATTTTGACACCAAAAAAATAGGAAAGAGAATAACAAATTCTACCCAATAAATCAGTCGATTTGTTACCCTATCTACCCAATAAATACCAATAAATCAGCCGTTGACTACCCTATCTACCAAAAAAAAAAGGAAAGACAATTGCTAAGTTTTAAGACACGGTTAATGAAAGACAATTGGCGGGTGATTATATATACATATATTTGCGGGAATAATTGGCAGGAATCCTTAAAGGTTATTCTATATATTTAATATATAGATAGATTAGAAGGAGTCTCCACTCATGCCCGGTCAAGTTTTTTGCATTTTGTTTTTTCTTTTTTCTTTTCTTTTAACTTTTCAAATTTTGCAATGAATCTAAAAAAGGTTTATCGTCTATGTTCTTGGATTTCAGATTTCGTATTAATTGGGAAAAAAAATGGGAAATGCCTTTCGTAAGAATCGCAGAGTCGTTCGGTAACCTGGTTCCAGACCGGTTCTGCCGGTTCCTATCCGGTCTGACACCGGGTGTCAGACGGTTCAAGTCCTCAAACCGAACAGGTACAATGGCCGGTTCCCGGTCGAACCAGTCGGTCCTGTTTTCAAAACCATGCTAAACATACATGCTATTTTGTTTATTTTGTTAGCAAGAATTTATGTGTGATCTTTAACATTAGCATGTTGATTATTGCAAATTGTGCTATCAATTAATTGTATTTAGGTAATTAGCATCTATAATATCTTATTTTTACATAGTTTGTATTGATTATTGCAAATGGTACTACAATTGTTTCCATAAACTTTGAAAAAATAATATGATTAAAAATTATTATGTTCATGTATAACACTCTAGCGTCATTTTAAAACTAACAATGCAATTTTAAAAGTTTAAAAAATTTAAAATAAAATTTTTATGTTTATCTTTAAACTATACAACGCCCGTATATTACACGGGTCTTGTTAAATTTTTTTCTTAAAATTTAATATTAATGTGAAAAAGTAGTTGGAAATTTAAATACTTTATATATATATATATATATAATACTTTAGTATGACACTTGTTACTTGTGAGACTTATATGTGCTATATTATAATAAATTTTCTAACTTATAACATATAATTACATTAAACATGAATATATTAAGTGAGAAATAATTTATTTTTTAATTAATTTTAATAAATATTTTATTATTGTAAAGATAAATATAATTTATTTATTTTATATATACAATATGGATGTCAAATCGAAACTCATCAAAAGATGATTAATGTGATACATTATATATGTAAAACCGATCAGAAATACATAAGTTATCAACTTTTAAAATGCATTTACAATTCAATAGTTATATTAAGAAATGATATTAAAATACAATTAATACATCTAAAATGATCATAAATAAATCAACATATTTATGGTAATCCGAACCTAATTAGTTTTGGATTGTAAGAACATCTCCAAGAGACATCTTATTTTAGACTTCCTATTTGGAGAAATAAGGAGCATCCTATATCCATTTGCTTCCTATTTTCTGTTGTCCTCCAAGAGCCTCCCTATTTTTTAATTTGAATCTGAACCAGGCCTACAAATCTATCTAAAAGCCAATTGAAGCCCAGACTGGGTGGACCTCTCGAGATGCCAGCGATGGGAGTCTTGATTGGGCAGCGGCGGCGGCACCTTGTTTGCGGCAGCTGCGGCGGCGGCGCCACCTTTTCGTCCTGGGGCGACGCCGGCACCTTCCATCCTTCCATCCGGTAGTGGCGGCACCTTTCTAGCGGCAGCGGCGGCGGCGAGGGATTCGACCTGTTCAGGGGCGGCGGTGGAGGGCGGCGAGGGGGCGGCCGTGGATGCTGCGAGCGGGCGGCGGTGGAGGGCGAGGAGGGGGATATGAAAGGAGCAGGGAGGAAAAAGTCCGCGAGAGGTTGAAAGAAAAGAACGTGTATGGAAAATAATGGCGGGGAGATGAAATGGGGGGTCGTTTTTCCCTCCCCTGAAATGAGGAAGAGAAGTCTCTATTTGAGGGCATCCTAAAAATAGGACCACGTTTAGGGGAACTGTTGGAGACAATTTTTGAGTAAAAATCTCTATTTTGGAGATAAGAAAGAGGAATAGGGAGGCTCTTGGAGATGCTCTAATTAAATTAAAATCTATCCAAGCCAAATAACAAAGCATGGAATTTTGACACATAGGATTTCGAAGCATGCGAGTCTGCCACATAGGGTCAGCACATTCGGGAATTATATATAAGGAGGATATTTTGATGTAAATATTTCTTAATTCAATACCCGCGTAGCACACGGGTGTTGTTCTAGTTGAAAATTAATAGAATGACATTCTCCTCCAATTTTAAAAGTTCTATGACATTCTTTCTCATCTGAAAACGACAGAACATTAAAATAGAAGTTACCTGGATATAAAGCTTCTTCCAAGCACTCTCCCTTGGCTTTTTAGGAAGCACTAGACCCCACCGCATACAATACCTATGAAAATAATAACCATAAGATTCCAAGCTCTAGATGCATTGATAAAAATAAAGTGGCCCCTACAAGATATCCTTATTATTGGTTGATAGGCAGATTCATATTAGAGCCATTGGCATTTGGCAGATCACTTAAGACCCAAGTGCCATAATTCGCATAGATCAAAGACATCCAGTTCAGAAAAGAAAAAAAAATAAAAAATAAAAAATAAAAAAAATTAAAATAAATTTAAAATTACCATATTGCATACTTAAATACAATAATTGTTGCCTGAGAAAAATCAGAAAGTGCTTCTTATCATAATGTTTATCAATATACTAATACAAGTTCATTACACGCAGTGTAAAAAGAAGAAATTGTGTTCATTCCCACACCCAGACCATTCTCTATATTTTGCTTTATTTCTTTCTTATTTTATTGGTGGAAAGGGGAGGGGTGGAAATGAATGATGACAAGTTACAATAAAGGAAAGAGTACTAACAAGCGACGCCACAAGGATTCATCTGAAGCAGCAATATTTAGGAATCTACAGACCAATGAGCAAGAAACAAGATCCTGCAGTTCAATAAGACATGCATAAACAACTAAATAAGCAAATGGTAATCATAGGCCGAACAAACAGACACACAAAGAAAGAGAAAACACAAGACAAATCTATATACCTCAGAGGAGAGGAACTTGAGGATGTGAAAGAACAGTTCAGGAGGGATCTGGCTGAAAAATCCAGTCTCAATCCTCCTAGATAATTGTCTACTTTCAGTTCTAAGCTTCTCATTATCTTTATCGCCTAGAGTATCATCTTTTACAGAAGGTGATAATACTGCATCAGCTTCAACTTCAACTTCCAGCTCGAGAGATGATAAAGATGATGAAGAAGACGATCGTACTGCCCTCGATAATCCTTCATCACTAATTTCACCCTCCTCAATTCTAATCTTTTTTGCTTCTTGTTTTTCCTTCTCCTCCTGTTCACTAAGGTCTCCCTCTTCATCATACGACCTTTTTCTATCTCTCTCTTCTTCCTCAATCTCATCTCCATTTTCATTTGCCTTCAAGTTTTCCTGCAACGCAATACCAATAGTTACTTGCACGGATTAAAAACAAAGGGAAAAAAAAAAAGAAAAGAGAAACACTTTCATAATGATGAGAACCAAATAACCAATTTCTAAAAGTATGATATGAAGTATAAGGATGCAGTTAATGTACAGAAAAATTCACTAACAGGCAAACAGACGCCGACACAGACATATATATGCATAAAAGCTAACTTGTGGGTTCAATATACAGAGAACCAGAATAGGCTCCAGATCACATATCTCGGCAACCACACCAGTAGGCTGGTTATCGTTGATGCAATCATATACAATTTAGATATCGTAAACATCAAATGTGCAATTTACAGGCAACTTCTATGACATTAAAACATTTAATTAGAGACAAACATTTAATTTCATGCTGCAAACACTTCTCATTCGTTGAAAAAAGTTCGTTTACAGGATGTATTGATATAAACCTGCTGCACAAATTTTATAACCCTAACTCAGAAAATAAAAATCGAAAATCAAATTTAACCAATCAACTTCATCAAAATCCAGCTAAAACCATTCCAATAGATCTGCCAATATTCAGATAAAATAAACATAATGCAAATTCAGACATAAGGAAAAAAAAATATAAAAAACATATAAAAAAAAAAGAGTAAGACTTGCATACCTGATCGGAGAGTTCGGAGAAGACCTCAGATTCGAGGAATTGAGCGAGGCTTTCATCTTCATCATCGGGACCCATAGCAATTACAGAATTTTATTCGAGATTCAAAAAAATCGAGTCTTTGATCAGCAAAAATAAGTTAACGGAAAAGATGAGGTGGTAATATGAATCATCGCCGGCGATTTAAGATGTACGGCGTCGGCGGATCTGGGCCGTTCATATAACGGGACGACGGCATTTGGAAGACGAGGGATGAGAATAGAAGGAGCGAAATTCGGGATCGGGTCGCGTAAAATTTACATCGGGTCGAATTATTCTTCCAAATTGGACCAGATTTGTCGCATAGTTAAGGGCGTTACTATCTTTATCAACAACTCAACCCAACCCAACTTAATAATTAAAAATTATTCCACTCACTTTCACCTAGGACTGGTATCGGTTCGAACCGATAACCTAATATCGATACCGAACCGACCACATTCGGTTTGACTAATATGCAAACCGAAACCAAACCGATAAGAGTTCGGTAACCGATTTTTCAGTTACCCAAAATCGGTTCGGTTTCAGTTTATACCGACCAAAATCGAAAAAAAAAAAACCGAAATGAAACAAGGAAAAAAAAATCAGTTAACACAACAGAGGCACACCTTCCCTCTCCCAAAAAGGCATGAAAAAAAAAAGGTATGAACAGAGGCACACATTGACCTTCCCTCTCCCAAGAAGTGCCAGGAAACAGAGGCACAAAGTCAGAAACAAAGGCATAAATAAGAGGTTTTTTTTTTTTTTTCTTTCAAACAGAGCNATGAACAGAGGCATGAGAATAACAACACAAAATAGACAAATCATAACACAACAAGCTTATCAATAGTTCCAAACTACCAAGTTCCAACTTCCAAATCCAAATATCCAATTACAATTCGCAGCACAACACAGTACACATCACACCATATTCAAATCAATTTTTATAAATCACAACTCAAAGCATTCGTCCACTACTCGTCTCGTCTACTCCTGTATAAGAAAAAGATTATGCATTAAGATGACAAAAAATATTATTATTATATTTTAATTGAAAGAACACCAATTATAATAATATTAAATTACAAGAACCTCATCAATTAATTTGCTCGATGATGTAGCACCACCTCCACGTCCACCACGATTTGATCGACCCCTTCCCCCTTTCCCCCCTCGAGATGGATGGGATGATAATTTATTAACTCTGGACTTGGGTGGATTTGCACTTTTAGTTTTAGATAGAGGTGGTGGCATTTCATTTGTATTGGGAATACCTACAAAATATTACAAATAAGTCAATAAACAAAAAATATTTCATGCACAATATGAATAGCAAAATATTAAATATTAATAAAATAGTTACATACTTTGTTCCAATTGTTCGAGTTCCATGTAGAACTCAAGCTCTTCTTCTGTAGGCTCCTTGTGAAATTGAAATTCCTCTCCTCTAAGCCAATCATTTGTGCAAACTAAGGCATTGACCATCCTAGATGTCATAAAGAAGCTCTAAACGGATCCACAATCCTTCCTCCAAGACTAAAGGCATTTTCACTAACAACGGTCGAACTAGGAAAAGCAAGTACATCCTTAGCAACCTTGAAAAAAATAGAGTAGCTTGAGATTTTACTTTTCAACCACCACAATAAGTCGAAATCATCATTCTTTGTACTTTCATAAGCATCATTAAAGTACTTGTCAACTTCATTAGCTATCTCTTTGAGTTTTGCTTCCTTTCTTTGCCTATTAAGTCTCCGCTCTATCCTCAATTCCACATCATCATCATCAATATCATCATCATCACCAAGATCAACACCATCATCCCCATCCTCATGCACATTCACATGTGACTTTTCCGTTCCCTTATAAGTTTGATACATAAGGTACAAATGTATTTTCACCCGACTCTTGAGTTGCTCAACTTCATCAAGAGTGTAGCCAAGCCCCCCTAATTGCAACTCCATCAATTGAAACTTATATCGTGGATCGAGGGTTTGGGCTACAAACATAAACATGTTCATATCTTCGAAAGAGCCCCAATATTTATCAAACTTCCTCTTCATAGAAGTAGCCAAATTTTGCAACACAACTTTTTTCTTATCTATAATTCTAGCCTCAATCTCAATCTTCAAGTTTATCAAGATTTTTAGAACAATATGTGAGGTCGGAGTCTTAGTGGCACTAAGCTTGACGGTGGCATCATAGAACTTCTTGAGGAAATGTGCAAATCCCATTGCTTTTTTCCAATCTTCATCACTCGGAGGCCCCACTCTCCCCTCTTCAAAGTATGACTTAAAAAGCGTAAATTCTTCCACCAACCTTGCAAATACACCTTTAAACTTGTATGCACCATGAAGCATGATGTACGTGGCATTCCACCGAGTCACAACATCCATCGGGATAGTTGACATTTTGTCCTTCTTCTCTAAGACGACATACTCCCGAAACTTATCCAACCTCGCACTAGAAGAGTGAATATACTTCACACAATTTCGGATGGCTTCAATGGAATCTACTAACTCTTTCATTCCATCCTTCACAATCAAGTTAATAATGTGACAAGCACACCTCATATGCAAGTTTTCATCAAGCATAAACTATCTGCTTCCGTAGTTGCTTCTTCAAATACTCCACGGCCACATCATTGGAACTTGCATTATCTACGGTAATGGTGAACACCTTACTTATGCCCCATTCGACCAACTTCTCTTCGAGACACCTTCCTATGTCTTCACCCTTATGAGAAGTAATTTTACAAAAGTTGAGCACCCTCTTGTGCAAGTTGAAATCCGAGTCAATAAAATGAGCCGTCACCACCATGTAATTGATATTTTGGATAGAGGTCCAAGTATCGGTGGTGATACTCACACGAAGATCGCCAATTATGCTTTTGATCTTTTCTTTCTCCTCGCAAAACAAACTCCAAACATCCTTCGCAATCTTCCTCCGATTTGGAATCTTATAGCGAGGTTGAAGATCATGAATAAATTCTTTGAAGTCCGGTTTTTCGACGGTTTGAAAAGGCATCTCCGCTTTTATAATCCACTTCACACACATCTTGTCGAGTCTTTTTTAGTTGAAGTCGGAAATTTTTACTTCGCCTCCCATTATCGACTGAGTTAGTGTGGGTTGGCTCTTGTCCATCACAACACGAAGAAGAGAACTCTCACACCTATAATATAAATGATTGAGTAGGCCTCTCGTTCCATTCCTTTTCGAATCGGCCGGCATTTGTAATTGACAGTGTTTGCAAATAGCAAACATCTCCTCATTTCTTTCCTCATCCTGAACAATGTTCCTTATACAATGATCCCAAGCAATGCTCCTCTCCTTTCTCTTTTTGGTATTGGTTTTTTGTGAAACATTCGTGTTTCTCGAGATTTCTTGAGTTTGATTATCTCCGTCTTTCATATCAATGACATTGGCATTGCTGCTTAGAGCCGGATTACTCGAACTCACACTTTGACTCTCCATTCCTAATACAAAACCAAGTATATATATCAATTTAAAACCGAGAATATCGATAATAAATATATATATATATATGAACATGACAATAGAAGTATAGAACCACAAAAAATGCACTACATCGATAATACGTTGATTGTAAGAACCAAAAACATCAAATATTCAAATGTAAGAACATGTAATCTTAATATTCTTGTTACAACCAACATACAGACCCATCATAATATGCCTTTATTTTAACAAATCTCACATGTTAGATGTAAGAACATGTAATCTTAATATTCTTGTTACAACCAACATACAGACCCATCATAATATGCCTTTATTTTAACAAATCTCACATGTTAGTCATGATTCTGGAACCTTACACATAATATTCCACCGTTGGTTTTCCACATAATTAATAGACAGATTCTTACAATTGTGCTAATATAATCTGTTGGTTTTCCTGAGGTGGCTTTAAAAAACATATTTGTGGACTCATATTCCTATTTCACACCACAATTACTACTGTAACAAAGAGAGAGAAGACTCCAAAGACACACACACACACACACACACACACCTGAGGAGGACAAAATTATAGACATCAGAACAAATAATCAGAGCAATAAATCATCTATCAGCAATTAAATTATTTGCATGTTTCACACAACTTGTGCCATCATTAGCTATCACAGAAGAAGATTTTCTCACCTGGGATTGGAGCTTGATGTTGTGGTTGCGTGAGAAAGAACAGACGAGGCTTTGAGAGCTTTGAGAATTAGAAAATCGGTTGCTGGGCTCTCCTCGACGGGGTGCAGGGACGCCGGCGATAATGGTCGTTCGATTCGCGAACATGGGAAGAGGGGAGGTGATTTGTCGGCGGTTCGATCCTGCGGTGGTCGTGGGCTTCTGCTTTGTGGGAATTACCGAATTATATGCAAAGGCTTTCAGTGAAGGTGGGTCAAGGCTTTCAATTTGTGGGAAAATCGGCTGACGGCGTTCGGTGAAGTGGGTCGAGGTCTGCGTGAAGGTGAGGTGAGGTAGGGTTGGATTCTGAAGTTGAGAAGTTTTGTGAAAATAGAAAATGACGATATTAATTATTAAGTCCCAACCTTATTTAATCTTTTCCTTATTTCTGATTTCTCTCCTTAGTCAATGACTCAATGTAGGATTTTTTTATATATATATATATATCGTTATCAGTTCGGTTCGGTAAAATTGAACCCTAATGGGTTCAGAACCGTTACCGAACCGATAACACTTCGGTTACCGAAATTCGGTTACCGTTAGACTTGAGTCGGTTCGGTTTGGTTTATATTCTCGTCGGTTCGGTTCGGTTCGGTTTTCGGTTTTCGGTCAAAAAATACCAGCCCTACTTTCACCTACCCAACCTAACATTTCAACTCAAATAGTCAAATTATCTTTATCCCCAACTCAACCCAACCTAAATATTAATTTAATTTAATTAAAAATTATAATTGTGTTCCAAAATATATCAAATGTGATCTCTATTTGTAGAGCATGAAAAAAATATGAATTCTAGTATTTTTTTAATTTATTTAACAAAAAAAAGTACACTTATCCAATAAAAATTGGACAATAGTCACATTCCTAACCAACAACCGGGTCGCGACCGAAGGTCACATTGTGACCTGGGTCGCTATATTTGATGACTTTTTCTTTTTTTTTTTTAAAAAAAAAAAATTGTCTTTTCTCCGTGACCCAACAGTGGGGTCACGGATAAACATAGTCTTAGTATTTACCGACCTGCACAATTTCCCTGATATTTTTCTAAAAAAATAAAAAAAAATCCCGCCTGTCGGAGAAACTGGCCGTAATTGTGCACGACCAGTGTTGCCAGTGGCAGGCTGGCAGCACCGTGCACGGTTGGTTTTGCCAATAGGCCTCACCGTGCACGAACGATTTTGTCGGTAGACGGGGCAATTTTTATTTTTATTTTGAAATCAAATTTTTATTTATTATATAAATTATGTTAGAATTTAGATATTATTATGTTATAAATTAGAATTTATTATCTTATAGTTATTATTTATAAATTATTATTATAAATTATATTTGATTATCTTATAAAATTTTATTATTATGTTAGAACTTAAAAATTATTAATTATATAACATAATATTAATTATTTGTAACAAAATACTAATTATGTGTAAAAAATAGTATAACATTTACAATTATTGTCTACTAACAAAAATAAACATTGATTTATATAAAGATTTTATAATTATATTTTCATATAATACTTTTTCATGAAATAAAATATTATTTCTAATAATAATTAAATTTTGAATAATGTAAAATATAATTTTACAAGTTAATCAATTCAAATTTATAATATAATAATTTTTAACTTCTAACCTAATAATAATAAATTCTATAAGATAATCAATTCTAATTTATAAAATAATAATTTCCAAATTCCAACATAATAATAATAAATTCTAATTTATAACATAATAATTTCTAAATTCTAACATAATTTTGTTAATATATAAAAAAATGATTTGAAAAAAAAATAAAAAAACTGGTCGGCCAGCCGGCAATACCGGCCAGTCGGTATTTCTTTTGTGAGTGTTTTGGAAAACTTTAGGGGCGAAATAGTCCAAGGGGTGGTAGGTAGTAAAGGGGGGAAGTATTTAGTAATTAACATAAATTAGATATATGATATACGATGCGGGTCATATTAGACATATATATTTGATAAAGGGCAATGCAACATGTACAATTATAGTTGATAACATTAGTTGACAACACTAGTTATCACAATCACTAATTCAAATCTTAACCATACATCTAGTTGCATCTCAACAATCTACATCATGCCACATCATGTTGTCATAAAATGTCGTACAACATAATTGTACAAGTAGCTTTTTTCTTTATTAAATTACCTCATGGCTTATACAACCTTGCCGAATGTGTTAAATCACATATCCTGTGAGTCTGAAATGCTATAACTAAAGATGGTTTGAGTTTACAAGAGGCCAAATTACATTTTTTTCTCTTACTTATTAATCACTGATCCCCTTTCCCCCTTGCAGGTAAAAACCTAATTTCTGGCTCACCTCTCCACAGCGGCGCCTCTCCTCCGACGAGAGCAAATTCCCGTGGCGGTACCGGCGTTGATCGTCGTTCTGAGGGTCGTCGCTCTCTTCCTCGCGTGCGTTCCCCCTTCTTTCCTGAAGGTGGCCATGGCGGATGCGACTGTGGTGGTCGTCAGGCGGCTTTGTGGCGGCGGCAGTGGCGGTGGCGTTTGATTGTCTGGCAGTTGAAGCTCTTTGCTCGTTTCTCTGTCTCTCCACCCTTGCTTCGGCCGTGGTGTTTGGGCCAACAGGGGCTGCGGCTGGCGGGCACCGTGTTGTCGTCGACTGGTTGGGGGGCCTGGGGGCAGCTTCGCTGGTGCTTGTCCGACGGTGACTTCCTGGATAGGGATTCGTCTTTTGTCCGGATCTTGATAGCCGGTGTCACGGAGTTTCTAGGATTTGGGACCGAGATTTGATCTCCATTGAGTAGTTATTTGGGTTGTGGCTTGCTTGAGGTTGCTAGGAGGTCTAGCCGATGTGGAGAGGGCTTTAGTCTTATTTTATGTTTGTTTTGGTTTGTGTTTTTGTGTGTGTTTTATGTGTTTTTAGTTTTTCTCTCCTTTTCGAAGTGTGTTTTTGGTAGTCTTCCTTCGGTAGGAGTATTTTCGTCTCCCTTTTGTAGCAGTATTTTCGTCTCATAGGTGTGATTGTTATGTGGGTTTTTATTTCTCTGGTCTTGAAGGGTCGTGTAGGGGAGCACTTGTTGTGTTTTCCCTCTTTGGTTTCTTTTCTAGTCTAGGCTAGTAAAAGTTGTCAAGTGTAATCCGTTGATTACTGGTTTGTACTTCCGAGGTGTGGTAATACAATTTGACGTTTAAAAAAAAAAAAAAAAAGATGGTTTGAGTTTTATCTAATGGCTTGTTTGATGTTGGAAAAAAAAAAAAAACAAAATATGTTAAATCCCAGAAAGCTAACTTGTTTATCTTATAATAAAAACAAAGGTTAAGTCTCTTGTTTCTCCGTTAATTTAAGTTAAAATATTTTTGTCTTGGTTGTTAGCCCAAGCCCATGAGGGCTAACCCATAGGTTAATTGGTTAGCCCATTTATTTTAATATAAATAAGTAGTCAATATTTATAATTACTTCTTGAAAGCGAAAGTCTGAAAGAGGTTTGAAAAAACTATTTATAGTTATTATTAAATGATACTCAATTACTAATTTTTATTTTAAAAATTATTATTAAATTATGTACAATTTCATAAAACATGATAGAACTATTGTCCTTTTGTTATATAGTTAAAAATATCTAATAAATGTCGATATTATTGACAATTTTTTTACTTTTATTGTTTTTATCTCATTCAAAATCGTGCATGTGACATTTGTTGCACACGGACACGGCTCCTAAATGATATGCGATAAAAGAAAGAAGACCGCGCTTTCTTTCTCTTTTGATTACCTTCGTAGTGTATCAAATATTATAATAAAAATTATATTAAATAATATGTTATCCACTCCATAATATATTCTAAACTAATACAACTTCCGTGTATTACACGGATGCTTGGTAATTTTTTTTCTTAAAATCTAAAATAATGAGAAAAAATAGTTGACAATTTAAATACCTTTTATAAAAATATATATATTATTATACATTTAGTATGACATTTTATATTTGTGCGACATACCTGTGTTATATTATAACTAGTACAACACCCGTGTATTACTCGGGTGCTTGTTTAAAAATTATTCTTAAATTTTAAATTAATTAGAAAACTATATTAAATTTAGTTTACTTTTTTACAAAAAAAATATATTACTATATATTTTAGAATGATATGTGTTACTTATGACTTACGTGTGTTATATTATATTAGTTATTATAATTTATATCATATAACTACTTGAAATATGAATATATTAGTTGATAAATAATTTTATTTTTCTAATTAATATTAAAAATAATTTTATTATTGTTATAAAGATAAATATAAATTATTTTTTTTATACATACAATATGGATGTTAAATCGAAGCTCATCAAAAGATGATTAATTTGATATATTACATATATGAAACTGATAAAAAATACAAAAGTTATTAACTTTTAAAATACATATACAATTTCATAGTTATAATAAGGAATGATATTAAAATGGAATTAATACATGTAACATGAACATAAATAATCAACATATTTATAGTAATATGAACCTAATTATTTTGGTTTAGAATTAAATTAAAATTTATCTAAGCCTAATAACGAAGCATGTAATTTTGCCACATAGGATTCCGAAGCACCAGAAGCAGCCAAGTAGGCTCAGCGCGTTCTGGATTAATATATAGGGGGGATAACTGTTTTAACTTACAACATATAACTACATTAACCATAAATATATCAATTAAGAAAATAATTTTATTTTTCTAATGAATTTTAATAAATATTATTATTTTTTATTATTATAAAGATAAATATAATTTATTTATTTCATATATACAATATGGATGTCAAATCGAAGATCATCAAAAGATGATTAATTTGATATATTATATATGTAAAACCGATAAGAAATACAAAAGATATCAACTTTTAAAATACATTTGCAATTCAATAGCTAATTGAAGGAAACATATCAAAAGTCAGGGATATATTAGTCAATTAGTGTCTCACTATGTATAATTACAAAGAAATAAAGGGTTATATTAGTACAAGTGATATTAAAATACCTAAGTTAGCTAAGTAATATTTATAGAATATCCGAACCTAGATTATTAATGATTAATATATATCAATATTATTTGTCCAAACACAATTACGAAGCATGATTCTTCGCCAAGTAGAATTCCGAAGCACCAGAAGCAGCCACGTAGGCTCAGCACATTCGGAAATTACATATAAGGGGGATATTAATTTCTGAGTATTGAGATTATCTTATTTTTATATCAGATTAACTGTAACTTTTATAATCATTTTCCCCCAACCAAACAACCCCTTATTTTTTTTTTCAAACGATAAAAACAATCTCATACCAATAAAATATCCAAATATAGAACAGTCCGGAGAGCCGACTAGCTCACAACCAAACTAGAACACCAAGAACCATGCCAACGATGGTCTACAAACACACCCAAACGATAACTAGAGGCAAATACAAGGATTCGCAACCTATAGCATCAAGACGCACAAACAACACAAACCCACAACCAAAGCCGAAAAAACAAGAGGCCACTGAACATAAGAACCTAGCCTCGACTACACAAGAAAAACAAGAGAATAAAAAACGCCTAAGAACTAAAGGAACAGAATTCAGTCCAATCATTCAAAGCATTACGAACAATAACCTGTTCCGGCATCCAGACTTTTTGAAACACCCATAAGTTACGCGACTTCCAAAGCCACCATAAAATATACGTCGAAAGTTGAATCCAGGCTTCAGAAGTAAGAGCTTTCCCCGCAGCAGCTATGCCCCACCACCAATGTCTGAATTTAGAAGATGGAGCCACCACAGGGTCCCAAGATACATGAGCCAATTTCCACACATTCAAAGCTCTTGGGCATGACAGCAAAAGGTGTTCCACAGTCTCTTCTTGTTCCCCACAGCAATGGCATATTTGATCAATCTGTAGCCCCCTTTTTCTAAGGTTAACACTCACTGGCAAGCTATTAGTAAAGCATTTCCAAATGAAGTGCTTAATCTTTCCCTTCACCTTCAAATTCCAGCATCTCATCCTAGCTTCCTTGTCACTTTGCCTGTTTGAGCTGCATCCAGGCCAGTCAAGTGATAATACCTTTTTCAAGATTGCAGATGAATAAGTAGAGCCCACATAGAAGTTGCCTTTCTTATCATGCAGCCACCTCCATCTATCTCTCTCAGCAGGGTCCAAATTCCTCATATTCAGAATAGCTCTACAAGACTCAGATGTGAACAGAGCATTGATGAGCTCAGAGTTCCAATGTCTTCCATCTTCGGCTATAAGTTCTTTCACCCAGACCACCTGAGTATTGGTGATTCCAGGTTTGAGAGATGGGATCCCAGAATCCAGTCCATCCACCCAAGGTTGAGAGAAAACCTTAGTATTTAACCCATCCTTTACCTCTCTTCGAAATCCATGTCTGTGAATGTCCATCACTCTCATCCAAGAGTTCCAAAGCCAAGATGTTGAATTCCTTGCTTTGGCATCCAAAACACAACCAGAGGAAAAGTATTTTTCTCTCAAGATCTTGGTCATTAGAGAATTTGGTTTGGTCAGTAATCTCCAGATCTGTTTAAGGATCAAAGAGTCATTAACAACCCTTATGTCTTTAAAGCCAAGACCCCCTGAACATTTAGGCACAGTCACTTTGTTCCAAGCCACCCAATGTATACCCTTCCTCAGATCATCTCTCCCAGACCACCAGAATTTAGCACTTAACTGAGTGATCTCCTTATAGATGCTAACAGGAAGGCAGAAACAAGACATCACAAAAATAGGCAAGGCAGTTATAACTGCCTTCAATAGAACCTCTTTCCCAGCATTGGATAAGAACTTATTTTTTCAACTAACTAATCTCTGTTTGACAGCAGATAGAACAAATTCAAAGACATCTCTTTTGGATCTCCCCAACCCCATAGGGAGCCCCAGATACCTAGTTGAATGGCAAATATCAATCCCCTGAAGAGTATTACAAACTGCATTTTGAACCCAATCAGCAGAATTTTTACTAAAGAACACAGATGATTTGGACAAGTTAACTCTTTGTCCAGTAAAACTCTGGTAGACTGAAAGGATTCTCAACAAGCTATTGGCATTTTGAACATTAGCAGCACAAAATAGTAAGGCATCATCGGCAAATAAGAGATGAGACATGGTAGTACCACCCTTAGTTAGCTGCAGCCCCTGTAAATCTCCAACTCTGATAGCACTTCTGACTAATCTAGAAAACACCTCTTAGACCAAAAGGAATAAGTAAGGGGATAGTGGATCCCCTTGTCTTATTCCTCTTGAAGGAGTCACAAACCCAGAAACTCTTCCATTGACATTAAAGGAAAAAGCAGTTGAAGATATGCAGGTAAAAATCCACTTCACAAAGGAACTATGAAAACCCATATGCAGCATAATTTTCACCACACAATTCCATTCTACACGATCATATGCCTTCATCATATCCAATTTGACTGCCATGTAACCAGTTCAAGTAATGCAAGACCTCATGTGCTATGACCACATTATCAAGCAATTGTCTCTCGGGAATAAAAGCAGTTTGGGTCTCATGAACACAAAATTTCAGACATTCTCTTAGTCTAGAAGTCAAGATCTTGGCAACAATTTTATAAGTAACACAGCAAAGGCTTATTGGCCTGAAGTGACCAATAGAAAAGGGATGATCACATTTTGGAATTAAGGTAACAACAGTGTGATTCCAGCTAGTTAACATTCTCCCAGACTAAAAAAATTTCACAACAGCAGCACATAGGTCATCTTTTAAAATAGGCCAGAAATGTTGATAAAACAAAGGACTCATACCATCATTCCCAGGTGCTTTATTAGGATTCATAGAGAACAGTGTTGCTTTAACTTCCTCTTCATCCACAGGTGCAATCAAGGTGGAGTTCATGGCCTCTGTGATTGTAGCTGGTATTAAGTTTAGAATCTCAGATTCTCCCCTGCACCCTTCTGATTTGTAGAGATTCTCATAGAAATGGATGATTGATTTCTCAATTTGCTCCTGAGTATCCTCAACTCTATTTTGAGCATCCAGCAGTCTTGTGATAGCATTCCTTTTTCTTCTTTGCATTGTAATAGCATGGAAAAAACTAGTGTTTTTATCCCCTTCTCTAAGCCATTGAATTTTGGCTTTCTGTTTCCAAAACTCCTCCTCAGCAAGATGAGATTTATCCAACTCCCTTTTAATTTTCTCCCACCAGTTTCTGTTTCCCCCCATAGTTTTCATGTCCTCCAGCTTGAGAGTGAGATCCTCTATTTTTTTAGCATTGTCTGATTTCACAAGTTTATTCCATCTCAACAAAGCCATCCTAGTTCTCTTGATCTTCTCTCTCACCTGCTCTATAAGATTACCTGTAACTCCCTCACTCCAAGCAAGACGCACTGTTTCTGTACAACCCTCTTTTTTCAGCCACCTCTTATCAAAAACAAATCTCTTAGGAAATATAGATTTTTTGCAGCCATGATCAAGGATTAACATTGCATGATCAGAGGAGGTTCTAAATTGGGTGAGAACTTTGGCACCAGGATGAACAGAAATCCAAGGTCCTGACCCAAATACTCTATCAAGCTTCTCCTCCACAAAACCCTCATTCCATCTATTGTTACCCCAAGTGAAGGGGTAACCTTCCATTTGAACCTCCATCATCCCCATATTAGCAATAAATGAATTAAAACCTTCACAGCTCTTTTCAATTCTCCACCTGCCCCCTCTCTTGTCACTGCTTCCACAAATATCATTCCAGTCTCCTCCTATACACCATACATCTCCCCAAGCAGCTCTCCCTTGCTCCAACTCTCTCCACTGTAAACATCTAGTGTGTCTGTCAGTGCTCCCATATACAAAGATCAACCATTCAGTAGCACTACTCCCCTGCACTGTGAACTGAATTTGTAAACAGAAGTCCAGCTGGACTATTTGAATTACCTCCACATCCCTACTCCACATCATTAACAAGCCCCCACTAAGCCCCAGTGGTTCCACAGCCCTACTCCTTTCAGCAAACCCCAATTCCTACTAACAGTATCAGTGAACTTTTTAGAATTTCTAGTTTCAGACAAAAGCACAAAACTTAGGAGGTGGGCCTTAATGGCTTCCTTGAGCTGGGCAACTGTAGAGGGGCCCCCCAGACCTCTACAGTTCCATAGGATTATCTTCATTGATCAGGTTGGGGCCACTCAAGGCTGGCTACCTCCACCTTAGTCATATTTTTCTTTTTCACTCATGTGCACTGTTTCTTTGCTTGCTTAGTCAAACTGGCCTCATCAACTAATCCCTCGATGATCCTGTTCCTTTTAGAGCCTCATGCAGTTTGAGTCTCTACCTGACTAGCAGATTTCTTAGTCAGTCTTCCTTTAGTCTGACCGTTCCTTTTCCATGAGCATGAACTTGGCTTGGCATCAGTTTCCTTATGTAAAGGAATATTTATTATTTGAGCAGGGAGCCCCTGGACTTCCTCTTCTATCTCCATGACTTGCACTATTTCTATCTTCTTAGCACTGCCTCTGTCTCTACTTCAATAGGAACATCAATCAGCAGATGATTTTGATTGTCTATCTCAACTTCTTGCTCCATAGATGGTGGTTGAGCACTCCTTGACCCCAATTCTTGCCTGAAAAGGATTATAGCTGCCTCTGTGCCTCCCACACCATCTCTCATCCCAACTACAACCTCCTTGCCTGAGGATGAAGGTTCCCCTTGCTTGGTCTGATTGCTATTCTCTTGAGAGTTGTTGGAAGGGTTGGAATTCTGTTGTGAGCCTGAGGATCTCCCCAATTCCATTGCTTTCATCCAATCTCCAAATTGGCCAGAGGAAACCTTGCCTTCCTCAATGTCATGTAACTTTTGTTTGCACCCTCTTTCCAGATGGCCCACTAACCCACAATAGAAGCAGAAGCTCACCAGTTTCTCATATTGGAAAATCACATTTTGCTGCACATTCCCTCTTTTCATTCGAGTGCATCATGGAAGAGGTTCTGAGATATCATGTGACACCAGCATTCTAAGAAAACTTCCTTTTACACCCCTTGCTTTCACTACAGTCACATTTTTAGTTCTCTTAAACATTTGCCTAACCTTCAGACCAACCTCCGTGCTAAGCCAATTTAGAGGCAGCTTATGCACTTGGACCCAAAGAGTTATTTCCTTGAAGCACTCATCTTGCTCCGATAGCCCATCTCTCCAGTTCTGTAGAACCAAATACTGATTCTCAAACACCCAATTTACTCCTTCCAGAACCTTCTCCTTATCCTCCTGACAACCGAAGATGAATTGAAAGAAGTTCTCCCCCAGCTCTTTGATTTCAAAAGGTTGTACAGTTGCCAGACATAGCCCATCGTTATTTTGAGACCAAAGATACTCGCTTTACGGTCCCCTATGATTTTCCCCAAAAGACTTTTTTTGCATTCCCCTTCACTAACACGCACATCTGCATCGTCGATCTTCCATATTCTGTTTTCCTTGTTTGACAGGTGAACGTTTCGTAAGGCATCCCCCAATTCATCCGCCATGGCTAACCCTAGTTACCACTCCACGTGCTCCCAGCAACTGGAAATCAAAACTCAGCTAATCGCGACCACAGTGTAGAAGAAAAGAAACATATCTGAGCTCTCCGTCGAGAGAATTAGGCTCTCCATCAAGAGAATTAAGGCTCTCCGTCGAGAGAATTGTGATTCCAACTGCTAAAACTATCTTTCATATATTCCCACCGGCTTAGGGTAAAATTTGCATCTTACTAGTTAATTTAAATTTGATTTTTTTTTATCTCAAACCCTTTAGCATGTTTAACAACTATAACCATAGGTAGGACAAAAATAAGTGAATCTCTAGTATATTTTATCATTACAGACATTACTTTAATTTGGTAAATGATCTTTTAGGAATAATTAGTGAATAATTCACTTATTTAATACCAAAATAATCTAATAGTCAGGATTGATTTCTAAGATCACTTCCGACTTTATGACTTTTTTTGGTTAGTCCTGGTAAAGCCCCCAGGCGGTGTATTTTTTTTGAAACGAGGTCCTTCGAAGGGGACAGATGGATAACCAGAGCTGGGAATGCCCAACTAGTTGACGAAAAGTTAAGATTAGTAATATAACTTTCTGATCTGCAGTTAAAACAACTACTGAATAATTCACTTATTTAAACCGAAATAATCTATTAGTTGTTAGTTGTCATCTACATATTAATCCATAGTTTAAAATGATTATACTAAAAAGTAGTAAGATTTTAAATGTATTTTTATTAAATTTAACTGCAAATAAAATGACACGAGTCAATTTTGTTCTTCTCTAAGGCTTGATTGTTTACAAGTTAATTTACTCACTTTTATTTCAATTCAAAATCTAACTCAACTTTAACTCAACCCCACTATCTTTAATATTATTCATATAATTAAATATACAAACCAATCATTCTTACACATCACATCAACTTTAATTCACTATTCATCCACTCACATAATTTAACTACCTATCATTTCCAATCATTTATCTTTTACTTTTACATCAAAACAATTTTAATTATTTTATTTTAAATATTATTTTAATACATTCTTAAAATTCCACCAACAACTAACTATACCACCTTTTTAAATTTAACTATAATTAACCAAAATAACTCATTTTGAACAAATTATTTCATAAACAAATCAAGCCCTAAATTCTCCCCCATCCCTTCTCCTTCCGTTCCCCATAGCATCATTTGGCTCCTCTCAACTCTCTTGATGTGTAGGCTAACTGCAAATAAAGTCGATGCTTGGACCTGACGAGCAAGAATTAAATGAGAATGGATATTTCGGAGCATGAGCAAAGGCAGTTCTTCGTCCTTCTTAACTCGGTAAGGCGGCAATTGTCTCATGCACAAGCATCCATACTCTATTATTCATTGGGGCACCATTTTTTTAGTAGTTTTTTGCCCCATTGTCTTCATCGATACTGTTAGTAGTTGGTCGAAAATTGTCGGGCTTGGAGGATCTTGAGTACAAACGATCTCCTGTTCAGGTTATTGTATGTGTATATATCTTTGAGCTACTGTGTTTGAGAAATTCACGACATGCGAACTTCATACTATTCAGAGGTTTGCAGTTTATACAAGGTTTGCAGTTTGTTGTGTACCAGGATTGAATACATAGGCCCACCGTATATGAATACATCCAACTCAAGCAGCACCACAATGTACCAGAAATATGAATGAAAAGGACATCAATTCACAGTATAAAATATGCCCACCCTTTTCTAGTGCTACTGAAATTGTTTTTGAATGGAAAAAAAAAAAAAAAAAAGATTTATGTTAAAGTGATATATTCCTCGGGATCATTATGTTGCGCTAAGTGGATCATCTAAGCTGCACGAGTGAGCCCACTTTTTGTGGTTAATGGATTTGCAGTAAGTAATTAATAATGTTTAGCACATTAATAAGTCATTGATTCAAATGTTCCTGTTTATCTTTTTCACCAGATTATCTGTTATTTTAACCTCTGTGAGTGCTGTTACTGTTCAGTATCTTCTCTAACACCCTGCGAATCGTGTCGAGTCAAAAGTGGTAGATGTTGACTAATGAAGACAGTTTAGAATGTTCTGTTTGGTCCCTTCTGATAACTACTCCCAGCATTCAAGAACATGGTTTTGCAGTGCTTCATTTGTTGAGGAAATAGCGTCGGGTGACTTGTAATAGTTAGTTGTGATCTGGTCCATTGGTTTGTCTCTATTTCAGGTTGGCATGTCTTTTGCCAATCTGAATACTTATCGACTAATAAAAAATGCATCAACTCATAGAGTAATTGTTTATTTCAGTTTAAACGAGAACGAGATTAATATCCACCGCCGGATGGTACCAAGACATACAAAAGCTTTGGAGGTCCCTATACAGATCCAAAAATGCAGGTGGTGGCTAATTTCACCTAAAAAACTAAGACGACCCTTTTATTCCTCAGTCAACAAAAAACACCAAACTTGCGCCAAAACTTAAGTTCTCTTTTTCATATATATATTTATTGCCTAATTCTTCATCTCACGCGGCGTAGAGCCAGGTACGCCATGAGCCGGTACCCGAACAGCATCACCATCATGACCGACACGTCCACCCACAGCCCGTCGAGACCCACGGCCTTCACGGGCGGGTAATCTGAGACTCGGCAGAAAACCCCCTTCCCGCACTCGTAATAGTCGTCCTTACCATACTGAATCCCAAGAAGTAGCCTGTAACAGTAGTAGCTGTAGCTCACATACTTGAGCCAGGCGATGAAAACCGGGATGTGCCTTATGTAGTAACCCCCGGCAATTAGAAACACGACAGTTGTGACCGAGGATAATGTTGCAGCCTGCTTGACGTCCATTAGCAGGGCTCCGAACGCGAGGCCAAGGCTCTGTGAGACAAGCACGCTGAAGAGAACGACGAGCAAGGAGAGGATGAAGGCAATTGGGTCGGGCCTCAGCCCGCCCATCCAGTAGAAGATGCAGGTGAAGGCGGTGGGGAGGGCAAGCTCCATAGGGAGGTCGCCAGCTGTGCGTGCCAGGAAGTAGGATGAGAGGCGGTACATGCCGGACGAGCGCTCCTTGATGAGCATGCCCCGCTCTTGGGGGAAGGTGAAGACGGCGTTGTACATCGGGTAGAAGCCCCAGAAGACTGAGAAGAAGAACAGCATGGCAATCTGCATTTTAATGGTTGGGAAAATTATTTTTTTTAGGCCTTCGTATTGGAATGCGTTGTGGATTAATTAAGCTGAGTTTCGAAAAAAGGCTTACGCGGTCGTCGATGTGGGAGGATGGGGTCTGCCACCAGAGTAGACCCCCGAGTATGGCGACGCTTATGACTTGATAGATTCTCAACCTGTTGAAGGCTTCGAACCTTCGCTCTCTGAGTCCCCGGATGAGGAGGATCTTGAATTGATGCCACCAGGTCGTGCACCATTTTTGTGTTTCCGCATCATTTCCTGCACCATTCCGAAAATATCCATTTGTTACTTTTGATCAAGAGCGGTAACTTCTCTTCTTCCTCTTTTTTTTTTTTTTTTTTTTCTTAAACTTACAACTTGGATTATAGTGATTTTGTGCAGTTAAGTATACTTAAATGCTACAAATGTTTGAGCATCTAAGTGGATGTGAGATAGAAATTAATGATTGAAGTTAGTTAAAAATAAAAGCAATATTAAATTAATTAAATTAAAAGTGACTATTAGATGACTAAAATTTCCTAATTGTCCAAGTAGAGGAGGGTCCATAACAAAATTATATTTTTTCGTAAGTGTAGCTTGTCCACACGCTTACTTATGGTGGTCTCTTTTGCTTGGGTGTGACTGGTAACATCTGAATCGCATAGCTCATTTTTCAGCCTCGTAGAAATATTCTTTTCGTAGGCAGAGATGAGAGTTTCTCTCACAGATGTCACGTCTTGAACGTTTTCATTGTGGTCGGTACCATGCTCGTAATCGGGTCCAATTCCTGCATCACATATGCATGTTCACTCACTTTATGATGAACTGTTAAAAGAATCGTTTTTCATCTTCTCAAAAGTCTTAAAAGCTTACTTTTTACACATTAACACTAATAATTAGCACAGGGTGTTAGCTTTCATTATTGGGATAGATTTAGTGTTAGTGACCCCTCATCACATGATTGCAAAAGCATATACCAGTGCTGGGTCCATAGGTGAATAACAATAACCCCATTAAAACATTCAATGATTAGCCGGACACAAATTTTGCTCTAGTGATATCTCTCTCGAAAATCATTATTAACTCGTTATTCTTCAATCTTACCATTGGCGAGATCGAGCAAGAGGTCGGCAGGGTTGACGGCGACCGACACGGAGAAGCCAATGGACGAGAAGTAATCGAGCGCAGTGGACGCAGTCCCGTAGTAGATCGGGCGGCCCTCGGACAGCAGCACGAGCTTGTCGAACATGTGGTAAAGCCTGCTCGACGGCTGGTGGATGGTGGTGACAACCGTTCTCCCCCCCGCCGCCAGCCCCTTGATGGTGGCCAGTATCCGGTGGGCCGTGGTCGAGTCGAGGCCCGACGTTGGCTCGTCCAGCAGCAGCAAGCTCGGGTCGATCAGCAACTCCTGCCCGATGCTCACCCGCTTGCGCTCCCCGCCGGAGATCCCGCGCAGGAGCGGGCCCCCGACCACGCTGTTGCGGCACCGGGTCAGGCCCAGCTCAGCCACAACGCGGTCCGCCTGGCGGGCCTTGTGGTCGGGAGAGAGGGACTGGGGGAGGCGGAGGAGGGCGGTGAAGAGGAGGGTCTCGAAGACGGTGAGGTGGGGGTAGAGGACGTCATCTTGGGATACGAAGCCCGTGCGGCGGCGGATAGGGCCCGAGAAGGGCCGCCCGTTGTAGCTGATCTTGCCGGAGAGGCTGAGGCGTCCTCCGAGGGCCGTGAGGAGGGTGGTCTTGCCGCTGCCGGACGGGCCCAGCATGGCAAGGAGCTCGCCCGGGTAGACTATGCCCGAGATCCCGTTGAGAATCGTTTTCTGCTTGGGGCCGCCGCTTTTGCTACTGTAGCTTATTTTGTAGACGACTTCTTCAAACTGAAACGTATTATTATAATTAGAAAGTGTGTGTGTGATGAGAGTGAACTCTGGATTTCATGCACTGGAGTACAAACTATGACTACATGGGCAAATGTCCAAAATTTTCTATTATAACTACGTATGTTGGTCCATTTGTGTTTTTAGGGGGAGAGAGAGAGGGAGCGAGACCTTTAAGGTTATGGGGTGCAAGCTCCGTTGTAGAAAGGAGGGCTGGTGGTCCTCGAGTCCATTGGCCTGACCTTCAGTGTTGTCGGTTTCCGGTTTCGGAGCCACGGAACAGAGTGGCATGGCGAAAATTGTAATAAAAATATAATTAATTTGTTTATTTATTTTCTTCTATAGTATATATTGCAGTTGAGACTGAGGAGAAAGGGAGGCTGCTGCTTTCGAAACTCTGATGGTTTGAAATGAATTTGGGTGATACGAATATATAAGGGGAGGACTGGGAAACAAACAAACAAGGATCTCTCAAGTGTGCTGTGCTGTGTATGACTAATTAGCCCTCCTGCTTGGGCCCTCCATCTTATGCGGTGTTCGTGTGTATATATGAGTACTGGGAAATTATTGTTTTGTTTATTACGTGTAGACACTGATGATAGTGCTTCCCATCTTTAATTTCACTTTTTGAGCTATATATTAATTATTAGTTTTATGATTTTTTTTTTTTTTTTTTT